GCATAAAAATAGAAGATATATTGAAGTAAAAAAAGAAAAAAAAAAGAAAAAAAAAGAACACTTTTATTAAGCCGTAGCATGAACCAGAGAATATTTTTGGCAACACTGACAGGAAATAGTGCCGTGTGTCGGTGTGTAATGCCAAATTCACTCGATCGCACTTCGCCAAAAAGTTTCTCCGACCAAGCAATTTATCAATCCAAATAATAAAATCCACCTCATCCACACGGTAACGAACTGATTTTTAGAGAGAAAATATTGATAAAATTCTGGTTCCTATTCATTGTTGTTTCTGTCTGATAATTTCTAGATATGGTAAAATCAATTACATAAAAAATGTCTTTGGAAATAAGTTTGCAGACGTCGTTTTGGAAGACATTAATTAAAGCGACTTATCGACTTGTATTAATTCGTCTGAACTTAAAACATTTAAGAAATAAACTGAACTGAAAACATTTAAGGAATAGTATTTTTTTAAACTGTTATCAATAACATTGAAGATATTTTCTAGCAGAACATAAAAATAACGAAAAGACAATGAAAACATCAAGCCGGTTACTTTAATGGCAGTGAGAATCAACCACGCACTTAAATACAAATAAAAAAATTGTTACCCCGTAAAACTATATTCAATTGGGTTTCCTTGTCTCCTAATCTTTTCTTAGACTGGAATAAAACCATAAATTTGGGACACCTAGTGAGAATCGAATTCGGTACTAGTATTAATATTTATGGTCAGGTTATTGAGTATGGACGCATATTCGAGTGGTGAGAACGTTACTTTCTTCACCCTGAGACTGGGGTTCGAATCTCACTGAAAGTGATGTGTCAAGGTGACAACTTTTGGGGTGACGATCCCCGCATACGTCTCTCTTGGGCTTGTCGGAAAACTATACCACAATTTCAGCCAAGACTCGTGAGTGAAACTGGATAGACGAAACTTTTCAGTAGTCCTCGATGCTTGTTAGCATGAAGTTATAAGTGTCATACCTGAACGTACCTATTCTATTATTAATAGACTCTTCCACACATAGTAAGTAGTAGTAGCGGTCGCCAGTTGGGCTCAGTGGTGTTGAGCGAGTCAGTCGATGTCGGACATTGAAGTATCAACCATCACAACTAGATTGCTGAGTCATTAACTCTTATCTCAAGTTCCTAACGTTTTGTACGTCGGACTCTTATAGGACCGACTTAGCGAAATACAAGCCTCCACCGTGAAAACTACTCTACAACAATAAGTAACCATGGCCAAGGGCCTGAGCATACTTACCTTGCTCGAATACCGATTGCGTAAGAATGTGAAACTCTTTCACAGAAAATATAACTAATATCCACACAGCATAGTTGTAGTATAAGAAAACCCTAGCTCTGTGGGTGCTGAAGAAGCACAAATATGACTGGCCAAGAAGCTGCAACAGGGATTAGATCCCCAACCTAGCAGATGCGTATAGTCGATAAAAATTCAATTATTAATGGTTAATCAGACTAGCTTCACTGTTTACATTATTCAGACTACTTTCCTCATCTTTGTCGCTATATTTATTACAACTTTTCAGCCCTTGTACGACCCGGCCTTCTTCAGGTGGTTGGAATATCGAACATTCCAACTACCTGAAGAAGGCCGGAGCGTACAACGGCCGAAACGTATAAGTATAGCGACAAAGATGAGGACAATACTCCGAATAATGTAAACAGTGTACATAATACCTCATCTCAGAGATATAGACAAATACAGACTAACTTCGTTAACCATAACTTCCCGCCGAGGTTCACAAATTATTTATCAAGTTTCACATAAAGTGGAATACAATCAGAAGAATGGTCCCTGAGTGCGGAACGAACCCACAGTTTAGTAATAAGGATCAGTCAGATTAGTCTCATTAACCGTTACGTTAATCTTAAGTAAACAAGTTAATTTAGCTTTGTCAGGTACAAGAAAACAAGATTCGAACTTATTACTCAGCACGTAGAATGATGTAGTAAACTAGACTCGTTACGCATTTTGGAACCGTGGTATTGCATTCAATTTGAAAGTTGGGGTTTGATATGATAAATAACGACACGGAATTTTTTTTTTTTCAAATTGTTAACGTTTTTTTTCAGGGGACGAATTTTAAGATAAAATACCTAAACTTTAATCATAATCTTGGAATTTCATTCCGTGGATTGCAAAGGCTTTATAGCACAGACTTACAAAATTCATAATGTACAGAAACTTTACAAATTTTATATGGACAAGATGCATGGAACAAGTGCATTATTATTAAATCAATTTGCCATTAAATAAGACTTCCATTTACTTCAAAGGGAAAATATATTGAACAATTTAGCCATACTGTAATGTAATATGTAATACAGTGCAGTTGTTTTTGTGTGATTTTTCAATAAATAATAAATAATGCAGATTTAAGACAGTTTGTCGTATAATTTGTGCACAGCAGTATTATGCTGTCTTATACACTTTTATATATTTTTTGTTGTTATTAATTACGATCTAACAAATAACCTAACAAATCTTATTTATTTAGTAGACATTTTTGTAATCTTTTACAACCTTTTAGTTCTTATCAAATACAGTAAAAACAATGCATTTATTTGTGGTGATACATAATTAGAATTCTTTTTTTAAATATATTTTCCTTTCAATGCAACTTATTCAAAATATATCAACTTTAACTGAATTTCTTGTTAAAATAGTAATAGTTTGAAGCCAGTGTGTAAGCAAAAATCTGCATAAATTCGCTATTTCGTCAGACGATATTTAAAATTAAAAGTTCAAATATTGGTAAAAAGATATGAATCTAATTTTTGGTGCCAGTACTTATCACATCAAACTGCAGATTTAACGCCAAGAACAGTGTTGATTTTCTTAAAGAAATGGAAAACCAAGCCGGCCGAATGAAGAGCAGAGTTACATTGAAGAATCCAAACATGAGAAATAAGATGCTACAGAAACATCCGAGATATCTCTGGTGTAGACCGTATCGCAAATGACGCAAGCGAGACACCATTAGGCAAGAAACGGGTCTAACGGAAAACCTCAAATTCACCGTCCTGAAGTAGATGTGATATGGCGTCCTAAAGTTTCTAACTTAAAGCAAGAAGAGACGCACAGAAGGAAAGATTTTCTGATAATGTCATTGAATGAACTGGAAGATCATTTTACAGGAACTCATACAGTTTTTATACCATTTCACTGCACGCAAGGCAACAATGTCTTATTGAGTGTCAGAGAATATGAGAAAAATCACTATGATGAAGACAAAACAATAAAAGAACAAGAGTTAAGAAGATAACGTTTGGCGTTTAAAGTGAGAAGTCCAATAGAAGAAACTATTAGCATAGAACTTACGGTTGCATTAAGTCATTTCAACGGTAAAATTATGAGATTTTTCCGCCAATCCAGTAGTGCGTTTAAATTAATACAATCTAGGTACTATAGACGAAAGTTAATCAGAGCAATTACTATAAAAGTATTTATAGAAAAGGCACAGGGAAACAACGCTACGGTGGTGGGAAAATGACTGGAGATGCCAGGTCAGAACCAATAACATTGCAGATTCTACTTTGAATTTTATCAAGAATCTCTAAATATATAGCAGGAGCTCCGGGCCAGATGGAGCTCTTGGGGTGAAATGATTTTTTTAAAAATTGACCTGTCAACGGCAGCATCAGCTAAAATGGATATGACATTACTTCGAGAACTCGAAGAGAAAATAATCACATAATCAAGATGTTGATATACCGCACTAAATGAGCAAAAGGTTAGGAAGGAAACCGTCATCGATACTCGAAAGCGTGATAACAACTACTGGACTTGAGAAATCTTTTTACCTAAAAAATTGTTTTAAGAGAAAGATTTTATGAATTTAAGTTATCTAAAAGTTATCGAGGCCTATTACCAAATAAGAGAAATATCGTTTTCTAATGAGATCTCCTCCTTGGTACAATGGCTGTCTGAATTTTAAGCAGGCTACTAGATTTGCTACTAGGTGTTATTGTATTGCTATTGAAAGAACTAGAGGTAACTGTAAGCGCTATTCTATATATATATATATATATATATATATATATATATATATATATATATATATATAACGTCATCCACAGACAGACTGTTTCGCTGTTTACAGCTCATCAGTGTGGCTAGACATCCGGTTGCCTCTAGCTAGGATCGAAACCCGATATATATATATATATATATATATATATATATACTTTTCTCGCACTTCTCGCCTGTAGAATTCTTTTCTGTTTGCAATCTCTTCGCGAACCGGATCTCTGTGGAACCGACTCGCAAGAGATTGCTTCCTCGATCACTACAATCTTACTCTGTTCAAGTCTAGTATAAACCGTTTTCTTCCACACATATCTGCCTAAACTGCGCATCTTACTCTACCTCGAGTGGCTTCCGGGCCTCGTAGAGGGTCAATATCACTGTAAAAAATATCGAAATTAAGTAGAGCCTTTCCTGTTAAGATGGATCTTGAACATATGCGACAAGTGAAGGGGTCTAGTTAACTATAAATGATATTATTTATGCGCATCTATTCAATTATCTACTTACAATATGTGAAAGCACGTGCTTCTGCCCTCATCAGCCGCCTAAAAGGGGAGGTAACACAGTTTTGGTGGCTAAGGCGGTACTGCTACCCCTGGCGCCACCAGACACTTTTGCTACCGGATAGAGCATTGTTTTTTAGTTGTAGACGTTTGAGTCTCTGCAGTTACTGCTGCAAGTCAGCGTTTCGGCGTTGCGTTCAATAAAAGAGTTTGCTTTTGATCGTTAAACAAAACACAATGCGCTGTTCACATTTATTCACAAAAATGCGGAGAACCGTCCAGGTCTTTATGCTTCGACATACAGTGTTTCTTTTCGACATGTTGACGAATCGTCTTAGTGGCGTTATCGCCTTGCTTGCGATGAAATGATTAAAATAAAATAACTAATCTTGCAAATAAAAATGAGATAAAAAGAATGGTGAAAAAAAAAAAAAAACAAGAAAGGAAAGAAAACGGAAAGAAGAGAGAAATGATCGAAAGAAGTTACGAGAAAATGCACCTGGAAGAAAGAAAACGGAACGCGTTGAAGACAATGCTAAATTTAAAACATGAATGAAGTTAGTTGTGGCCCCTGAAAAAAAAAAAACACGTACGATACGCGTATAATAGTGTAGTTGCAATTCGGGGTAGGGTTAATGTAAAGATCAACTGAGTACTGCACACAGAGAGAAAAGAGAAAAACAATGGTAAGAAATGATGAGTTGTCAGGCGGAAACTTGAATGAATTAATAACAATTGTTCAAGCTCTTCCGAAAATCTTTTTCTTTTGAAAGCCGAAATGGAATCAATACAACACTTACCAATATATATATATATATATATATATATATATATATATATATATAATTACGAATTTAAGTATTAGTCATTCACAAATACATGTTTCCTTAAAAATGACTGAAAAGGCATATATGTTTTTTTTTTATTGTATTTTTCTTTTCTGTGCACAAGTTTTTTTAGATTTCACGGAGGAATTGTGTAAATCATTGTCCATTACGAACGATTGTGCCTTTTACCCGTGTTCAGTGATTTCGGTTAGACTATTTCTCAAAATATTGTTAAAAGCTAGCCATACATCAATCTATCTTTAAAATAAAATAAAAATCCTATCTATAGTATAAACTATAATAATTATTTGATTAAAAGTAAAAGCACCGACTCCTCTTGTGGTAAGACACATTTACCCTCCTTACTATCATGAATGAACTAATCCATTCATGATAAGTAGTCCTGGGTAATTGTCTAGGAAAGACAAGATAATACTGTTGCAGTAACTTGTCGAGCTGAGTATTGAATACTATTATCTCGACTGACTCTGTTGAGTTAAGTATTGCGTCTTGCCAGATCACACATCAAAGTATATATATATATATATATATATATATATATATATATATATATATATATGTAAAAGTGAACATTGAAGTCAACACTCAGAGGCGACTTGCCTTGACTATATTTTTATCATATATATATATATATATATATATATATATATATATATATAATATAATTATTTTTTGAAAATATGATTCCATCGCTAGATAGGAATTACCATGTTTCAAAAACAGAAGCTAAAAACTTCAATTATAGAAATTAAATCAAATTAAGTACCTAGTTCTGTTTTATCCTCAAGAGAATTTTGGTATAACTAATCTACGAAGCATTTACATTCGTAATATTAGTTTCTATGAATATGGAGAAAACCAAATATATTAATAAGGTGCGTTAGGGTATTTATTTTCACTGACAACTATTGTATCAACATATTAGTTACTTTCGAAAAGAGGTTAAAGTCAAGGTAAGGTATGTATATATATATATATATATATATATATATATATATATATATATATATATATATATATATATATATAATGTGTGCGTGTATTTACGTGCGTGTGTACTCTGCAACGTAACTGCGCATTGCTCCATCAAAAGTGCATACATAAATAAAGTCTTCTTCATTGTTTGTCATTCTTTTTCTATAAAATAATATAACAGGAAATATACATATATGTCCATTATACCATACAGCTGTTTTTTATATATATATATATATATATATATATATATATATATATATATATATATACATCAAGTACTTGTAGATTGGTAAGTATACATGATAGAACCAATCTGTAAAAAAGAAAGGAAAGAAGAGTATTTAAATTGATAGGAATTGTTCATTTTCAACATGTCCACAATCATACTGCATAAAAAGTTTAATACAATTCTGTAGTTCTCGGAAAACACTTCGCAGCTGATTTTCAGTAATATCTTCAATCACATCAACCATCCTAGCTCACCATTTCCTCAAAAGATCATGGTTTACTTGAATAAACATTACTTTTCGCATGTCCCCATAAAAAGAAATTCAATGGATTCAAACAGTCATTTTGAAGTTTGAAGAAATTGAAAAAAAATAGGTAAAACAAATCTATATAATAAATGCAAATGTCCGTGTATCATTGTGTCACACCTTTTCAACTTTACTCCGAGAGACCGTAGCTCAACATATCTTACCATTTTGGAATCAGGCCGACTCCGTGAGCAAATTACAAACATACTGGTTCGCATCCGGACCCGCAATCCTCAAATTTTGGATTCCCAAGTTTTCATTACTGTGATTGTTTTCGGATTCCGCCATCTTGGCTTCTGATAAAAACAATTAAAGGGACACCACTTTCTAACTTTCAATAGCTCATGTTCAAATAAAAAAAATGACTGTTCTCAAATTAAAGTATTTCAAAATAAAATTCTCAGTGATGTCAACTTTACCCCTAGAGGCCGTAGCCCAACATATTATACCTTTTTGGAACCAGGTCGACTCCATGAGTAAATTAAAATCATTCCGGGCCGGATGCTGACCAGCGGCCTTGAAATTTTGGATTCCCAAGTTTTCATTACTGCGTTTGCTTTCGGGGAGTCTTTTTACATGATTTTTTGTGCGATAACAATTTGGGAATAATCAAAATTAATTTCGAAACCCAGCGAAAGTCACCCATGAAATAAAAATAATTGTTTTTAACCGAAAGTATGGACCTAAGTACATCGAACTGTCGTTAAATTAAGTGGCGGTAGAAGAATTATAGTTGAACTTTTAAAAGATTAACGTAAATATTAATGCAGTACTTAAATGCAGCAATTAATTTTGAATTCTTCTGTAGATTACTGCTGTCTATCGGATCTACTCCTACCTATCTATTGTGATGGAGGCCCAATCAAGGGCCTTCCGCAGAAGCGAGCTTAGATTAATTTATTGAAAGCAAGTAAACTATCTAGATATATCAGTCTTTCCTATTCTTTTTACAAATTGTTTTTATCATGCATAGTTACATGGCTACAATTACAATTACAAAGCTACAATTATTTTACATTGCACACGGACTTTATGGACACCCTGCATATATAAAATCCGATGTTGGACTTTGTGGCTAGACTCATCTGAATTTTTCTTTTTTCAATATTCGATCGATGTGATCACTGAATGATGATTTATTAAGTGATTGTACACGGAAGGATTTCATTTTCAGCTGAAATAATTCTGGAATGTAATTAAATGTCTTGTTTTTGGTTTGAAGCTTATCATTTTTAAATCTATCTACATATCTGCGTATATATATATATATATATATATATATATATATATATATATTTACACATGCTAGTATATATGCTTACATACGAGGTCAGATCTAAAAGAACCAAGAGTGTTGCTATGGCACAGATTGTCCTTGGACTCTCTTATACCGTTCTCGTTCAGTTCTGTTGTATATAGCAATGCTTGGAAGGGAAGTGTGTAGAGTATTCATGGCTTGTGAAGCAGTTTCTGCCAAAGACCAACGTTCCCTAGATCCGGCAACAATCGAATTCCACAGATTTCATTCATTCCGACATTTTTCCTCTTTCTAAAAATCAAATCCTACTTGAAAGGAACATGATTCAACAAGTCAAGTAATTCGAAATGAATGCAACTAGACAGCTGTTCGTTATCCCAAAAGAGTAATTCCAGGAATGCTTCCATTAATGGAAATGACGCTATATAAAGTCTGTGGCTCCAGAAGCAGACTACTTCGAAGAAGATTAAATACTGAATTCATATGTGTTGTAGTTTTCTTTTTATAGGACCAGCCCCGATACTTTTCACCAGACCGGGTATAGAGTATATAGATATATACATATATATATTTATGTGTATATTATATATAAATGCATCAATATAAATAGAGGTCTGTAAACATATGAAAATATATATATATATATATATATATATATATATATATATTTCTATGGTATATATATATATATATATATATATATATATATATATATATATATATATATATATATATATATATATATGTATATATATATATATATATATATATATATATATATATATATATATATATATATATATATGGAGGTTGATATATATATATATATATATATATATATATGTGTGTATATATTTATTTTGATGGAGGTTCATATATATGAATATATATAAATCTATATATATATCAATATAGAAATATATATATATATATATATATATATATATATATATATATATATATATATATATATATATATTTCTATAGAATTTTATATATATGCGGATATATATTTCTCGGGAGTCTCCTATATGTGCTTATAAACATTTCTAGAGAGTTGTTAGTGTAGATACATTTCTATATGCGCTTGTATATAAACTTAGATTTATCTGCGTGTGTGTAAATACAACAATGAATAATGAGACCTATAAATATGAATTTAAAATGAATGCTAGAAAAATCAATCAGAATTTAATTATCCATTGACTGATCGATCGATTTTGCCTGTCAAGAAAATCATACACAAATTTAAGAAAATAAATCCAAAAATTGTATTATTAGTTTACACATACACATGTTTGTGTATGTGCACGCGCGTAAGCTTATGTAACTCTTTCTCTCTCTCTCTCTCTATATATATATATATATATATATATATATATATATATATATATATATATATAGAGAGAGAGAGAATATATATATATATATATATATATATATATATATATACATACAGAGAGAGAGAATCTCTCTCTCTCTCTCTCTCTCTCTATATATATATATATATATATATATATATATATACAGAATACTTGAAAATCCATCAGGTCAGGTAATAAATTAATTTTGTGGACTTCAAACATCCATCTCTTCAGACCAGTTTTACAAAAAATAGAATTCAATTTATTCAGACACAGTGAAAAAAAGAAAAAAAGAAAAAGATAAAAATATATATATATATATATATATATATATATATATATATATATATATATATATATGTGGGTGGGTGTATAAGCATTTTTTTTAGAGGCTAGTTGCGTAATCCATTTTTATAGACCTAGTATATATGCGAATATATATTTTTGAGAGGCTAGTATATATACGTAGATACATAGATATAAACCCGATATCAGAATTCAATAACGTTTATTTAAAAATAATGAAGAATGCTTTAATTCAAATATATTTTCAAAATATGTCCCTGCAGAACATGAACTTTCTAAAA